CTGCACTTTCAAAAATCTGCATGCAAAGGATTTTAGAGCAGAAGAGTATGACATTCCAGGAGCAAAAAAAACCACCTCAAAAACTAGAAGCATTTTTCCAGTGTTCATCTGAATTATTTTTAAGTTACTAATTAAGGAAATGAGGAAAAACAAGACTGTTTCAGGCAGAAATAGCTGATGAGGAATTAGGTGTCAGTCTGAATGCAAATCCCTTCTCCACTCCTCTCTTTTTCTTCCTCAAACAGAAAAATAAGAATATGTTTTAGTGACCACCAACAGTACAAACTCTCTTGGATGTGTTAGTCTAAATATATTTCTCTCTCATGTAAGCACCTTTGTAGCACAGACTTTATCTTAATAAACTTTTGCTTTTGAGTTCATCAAGGTAACCATCCTACAAACAACTCAAGAGAGTACATCAGCAACCATAATAAACAAACAGCATAAAATGCCTGAGCATTTGTTCTCTCATTTTTTCCCCTTACTGTACAAAATGTAAAGAACAATCCACTATAAATATCAATTTCATTTCTCTCCAAATGTAAAAAGGCACCAGTGAAACCTGAAATGAACACCTGAGATGTCACCCAAGGGTAACCCATGTGTGTACCACATACAAAGCTCCCCACTGCTGTGCAATAACTGCCAGAGCTCCTGTACTCAATAAAGAAATGACTCTGGAGGCAATTAATTTCCACTTCAAACAGAAAACTGGAAGGAAAGCTTAGCAAATGAGCATTTTCTCATGAACAGAAAAGAGTTCTTCAATTTCAGGAGATGCCAGATAATTCCTAAAGTCTGGATAAACAAGTATCCAAGCAAGTTTTGAGAACTCATCCAAAGCAAGTACCTAGCTGAACACTGAAGCACAAGGATTTCAGCTGCTAGAATGGGAGTATTGGAAGTTTGATTCTGCACGGACCTAAAATCAGAATAATAACCCTTTGCTCATCCTATTCACTGCCTCTGGAGCATGAGAGGATTAAAAAAAATTACTACTTCAAAAACTAAGACCTGTGAAGCTTGCTTAGTAATGACTCAGAACTATGTGTACATATACGCATATACATAATGTAGGTTCTAGCAAAAAAAAAAAAAATAAATTACGAAACCCACCATTTGATAGTATACTTGAGGTTTGGTTGACTGACTGTGCTGTCATCCAGGAAAATAGTGGAGCAGGAACTGTACTTCCTTCTCAACTGCCCAGGAGGATGCTATGAAAAACATGCAAAAGAACAATAGCAATTACGTAATACAAAAACAATTTTCTGAGGAGATGCAAGAATTTAGAAAAAACAAATTTCTCTCTCACAATGACGCACATAGTAATATGATCATGTTTTGAAGCAGTTCAGAAAGTTCAGAAATAATTACCACTGCAAAAGTCACAACAGTTCCTGCCTGAGCCTTGCCTAATGCTTTCAAGTCCCAATCTTCCCTCCATTCCTTCTTCTGAAAAAAACATGCAAAAACCTTTGTGGAAAATTACTCAAATTAAATACATACATTTGGAAAGCAAAGATGAACAAGATCTAAGTTTCTGTTCTCATTTGAAAAGAATAAATGGAAGAGTGAAAAAGAAATCATGTTAAAAATGAAGATTGATTCAGACACAGATACAAAACCATGCTTGGAGAAAAAAGCATTAAAAAACCCCCAAACAACTAAAACCAACAAAAAACCCCTAACAGAATGAAATAGGGAGAAGAGGTCTTTACAGTAAAACTCCTTTAAAAATTAATAGGGAGAAATCAGAAGAAATTAATTCATGAATTATAGATTGTTATTAGGAGGAAAACTGATCAAAGCACATAAGAGAAAGTGGATAGAAAAAGAATCAACAACCTATCTCTCAACAGAAAAAGTTTTCAACAGATTTCAATTCTATTTCTGCACTACCATAGGAAAACATTGGAAAGCTCGGCCACAAAACCACATTTGACAACACTGCTTATTTCTGAAGATTTTTCTGTTAAGAGGGCCAGTCTAAAGAGAACAGTTTAATCATGTCAGCTAATAGCTATCACAATCATTAATGCTCTTTGATTTTATCCTTGCTTATTGCACCTACACAAGTGAATAACTTGACCAAGAGCCTGGGTCAGGAAAGTTACCACCAGTCAAATTACATGTTTAATTAATTTACAACAGAATAGATTCAAAATTCAGCTGGCACATCCACATGACAATTCTAATTTGCCTTACAATGAGCACCGTTTCCAGCGTTTCAGTGGAGAGACAATGTCAATACCATCACTGGAATCCACAGACATTTACCAGCTCAGAGGAAATGAGTACCCAGGCTCATGAGTCCTGTGACTCCTCCCTCAACACATCTTTCCCTGCCTAATTTCCAAAACAGGTATTATTTCAGTTGCCAGCACTCCATCATCTCACTAACATTTCCTTTTCCATAAGCAGCAGACTTCTTAGCAGCATTCATTAGATACAGAACAGACAGACTCCTGGTAAAACCTACAGGCATCTGAGTCATCTTTCTGGTTTTCCCAGCTATGAGCAAAAGAGCATTCAAAGTCTTCCATTAATTGAAGAAAATAATTTTCTGAAGCTGTTTCAATTGTAGAAACATTATTTGCAAATTATTTCAAAGTTCATCAAGAAATTTTATCAAGGTCCTCCACTTGACTGATAAATTCGTAGGCTGAACTGCTTTTCTTGGAAATAAAAATGTTTACTGAAAAAATGAAAAAAAATATTATCTCCTCTCAAAAATTCTCCAGGAGTTTGGTAAGGTACTTTGTAAGCTCATAATCCATCTACCTTCCAAGCCATTATATGTTAAGCAAAGCAACAAACAGAAAATTTAGAAGCACTGGAGGCATTAATGCTGTAAAATGTATTATCTAGCATTGTGATGTATGCAGAGAGAACAACTAGGGGACTGGTGATTTATAGTTTTTATTGTAACATAGCTTAGTTCAAATTTCTGGATTAGATTGTTGAGTACCTTCCACAGGCATGATAAAGGGAAAGCAACTTAAAAACAACTGAAAATGAGACTGTTTAGTGGTTGAAAAAAAAAAAAAAAAAAGGGAGAGGTACAGACATTTCAGCATCATTAAATAAATCAACACATGCAAAGTTTTAATTCTACACCTTAAATGTCAACATGTTTTAAAGATTTAGATAAAATTTAAGATAAATGGACTGGATTCATTCAAGGCAAGCATGAGTAAAAACCAGTAAACAACTCTGTAGCAACACCACTATCAAATTTAAATTTTTTCTGTAAACAGCACTCCAACATTTGATACATGTCAATAATTAGAGCCACGCACCCTATTTCTGAAACTATCACATCACAGAACTCTCCATGGTATTCAGCCCACACCATACTTCGTTAGGCTTAGAACTTTTCACACTTCAGAAAAATATGTGGTGTCTCATGCCTCACTTTCAGTTCATAACCACTCGGCAGGAAGGGGTACCTCTCCCAGTCTGAAAAATGGTGCCAAGTGTAAACCTACTATCTTGGGTACATACACACATTTGTGCCATGTGAATAACTAACCTATCGGTAGATCAACATTCCCAGCTTCTACTCTGACATCCAACTGCCGCCATATGGTATGCCAGGTAACAGATCTTCTGCCTTTTCCAAATTACTGGAAAACACCCTCAGTTTCATATTCTAACTTGACTAAGCTGGAAGACATCTCAAGTCCCACAGTTCAGTCAAACAGGCTTTTCTGAACCTCCATGAAATGCTGCACAGGAACCTTCTTCATCCTTGCAACGGACAGAAGAGGTTACTGAGTGTTACCTCAGTATTCAGCACTGTCCTGCAGAGAAACTCCCTTCTGTGTCCATTTCAACAGAGAAGTCCACACCCAAAATTGTACAGGAGCTTAATGCCTTCCCATTTCAAATCCACCACAGCTGACCACAAAAATCTTCCATTTAGACAAGTCAGAGAGGCTCTACGTGAGAAAAATTGGAAGAGCTGAGAAAGAAATTAGCCAAACCCTCTAACATTAATGAGATCCTTCTGAGGTTCTGTCCCACCACGAAGGCTGACACAGGGGAAAGAAAGGACTGGTATAGCTCCTTTTGTAAATCTTCATATGCAAACATGACAGTGAGCATAGGACACGCGTGGAGCCTTGACTATCTCTGCTATTACAAATATTTACAAATTAAAAGTACCTCATTGATATGAAGTGGAATTCACTTTATATATACTTTAACTTCCAGTAGTAATATTTTTGTACCCAAGCTGAGATTCAGTAGATGTCATGCTTCTCAACTTCAGCAAGACTTCTGACTTTGTCTCACATAAAATTCCCAAAGGGCAAAAAAAGGACAACACGGCAGGTAAAAACTACTTGGAAAACTATACTGTGGTTACCCAGGGATCACTTTCAGATTGGAAGGCTGAAGTAAGGGACATTCCACAGAGGTCTGGTCTACTCATTGTAAAATACTGAGCAATAACTTTGATAACATAATCAAGGTAATTTTTACTGAATTTGCCACTGGCATTAATTTGCAGATGACTCTTTTATAAAAAAAGGAAAACATCATAAAGGATTTATAGAGTTACCACATATACAACAGAGTAGAGCACCTTTCCACTCTGCTCAGCTAGGATTTTATATCCAGTTTTGACTACTGTATTTCAAGAAAGATGAATTGATTTCAGAGAGTCAGGACGAGACAGCAGCAAGACTCATCAGAGGTTTAAAGAACCTGATTTAGAAGGAAAAAATGAATGACTGGAGAGGTTTTCTTCAGGAACAAAGCAACAATAATGGCCTTAAATCATGAAGGGAGTTCCAAAGAAGAGAACATTGTTCTCCATGATCACTGTGGATGGGATAAGAAAGAACAGGCTTATATTGAACTAGGGAAAATTAAGATTGGACACGAAAGTGTGAGAGGAGGTGATGGCAAACATCCCTCCCCCCCAAACCACCACCTTTTTCTAATAGCAAGGATAGCTTGAGTGACTTGAGCAGTGATAGAATCTCCATCACTGAAAGTTGTAAAGAGTAAAACAAACATATACAGGAATAGCTCAGAGGCAGGATTCTGCTCTTAGGCAAGAAACCAGACTGGACAACCTCTTGAGGTGAATTCTGGATCAATTTTCTATCACTTTGTGATTTCTTTTGGTGGAGAGGATTTGCAGCTCTTTAATCCAGAAGAAGTTATTTTTCTCATTTTAATCAAAGACGTTCATTAAGAAATGCTGACATTATAGGTTACAATGAATATACAATAGGTGTTTTGTGGAATTTTTTTCTTTACAGGAAAAGATGTATAATGGAAAAAATTGTTTTATAACTTGCTAAGCTTTTACATGTGTTACAGAACAAGCTCTAAGAGATCAAGATTTAGTGTACTTCCATTAATGCCAGGTGTTTCTAGCTCTTAAAAACCAGGAGTTTTTCCCTCTTGCACAGCTAGTACTAAGGAAACAGCACTGCTTTATTTTTCTCCCAGCTTCAGCCTGAAACTTTCCAATTTTCCAAATCACGTTTGTTTTAAGATGTTTGAACAGCAGGATTTACTCAAAGTTTACATAAAATACATCTTATCAAAACCAGAATGGCTAAACCATACAAGCTCTGCAAAACTGTTTCTATGTACCTGCTATGAAAGGAATGACAACAAATTCCTAACTAATTTACAATGAAAATACACAAAAGGGCGAATTTCTCTCAGCCATCATTTTAGCATCACTCAGAAATGAAATGTAAATTTGTGGGGAAAGGGGAAGTATGACTATTTCTTCTGTTAAAATAGCTGTTTCAGGGTGGGTTTGGGTAGAAACGTCTAACGGATGGGTGCCCACTGACCAAAACTCACACTCAGAATTGAGCAGAAGTGGTTCCGGCCAGTGCTGTCCTGGCAGCTCTTTAGCCACACTAGGATGGCACTCTGCCCCGACGCTCAGCAGGATCTGATCATTTGAGCGCAAGACTTCCCTAATGAAGCCATACAGCTTTTGTACCAGAGCTGGCCTTCAGCCAGACAGCTTCCAGTTTGGCAGAGGAGCTTTAGTCTTTGTCAGTGTTCTTTTGCACTTGTCCATCAAAAGATAATTTGCAGCTTCTGTCCTAAATAATGATAGTACTGTCTCTTCTTACATCAAACCAGGTGTAAGTTATCGCATGATTTTAGAAGGTACCATTAAATAGTATTTCCCCCCATGGAAAAACTGAGGCCTGCTTGCACCCGTCTGTGGAGACGTGCCCATTAGCTTCCAGGCAGCAGAGGCTGGCCAAAATGCTAATAGGCAAAACTGGCATGCGAAAGTACGCATGAAGCCAAATTACAACAGCAAGCAAAAATGCCAGGATTGCTTCTGACTTGGAAAAGGGAGGTTCCTATCTTGGGGATCTTCCATTGCTTCTGGACATGATTTAGTTCCGACAACGTTTTTCACAGAAGAAACATGATTTTACAGGTCAACAAAGTGTTTCCAAAATCAAGCAAGCTGTGCAACACGATTCTCTGCACAGCTCTGCAAACCTCTGCGTTTAGGTTCATCTTGCATAATTTGACACTACAGCACAATTGTCTACATTTAGTGGCTAGATATGGGTATATTCACCAGAACAAAAGTTACAGCAAACTGCACCATCATATGCTTACCTTTCCCTGCCAACATCTACAATATATTAAAAAAAAGATCCCGTCCAACCACTCTTAAGTAATACCCATTGTACCTCATCACTCTATGACACGATTCACCCTGTCCTCAGTTGATTAGTCTCACCAATGTTTGATAATGTCAAAAACTGGTGCTTTAGACTAGGTCTGTACTTGCAAGTTTTTTGCTCTCAAAGCTTGTCCTTACTCAAGCCAGCTATAGAAAACTCTGTCAGCGTACCACTGAGCTCTTGGGAGGCTCAGCAACCACTGGTAAACTCTTCTGCAGCACACACAGACCCTACTTAACCAGCGATGAAGCACCCTGTTTTACAAACCTGAAAAGATTAAATATTTCTTTGAACACTTAAAGCAGCTCCAAGGCTTATATTTGCATAGCGTATAATTGCTAGTGTTGTGCAATTTGACAAGAGGGACTTCACTGTGCTCCCAGCACAGCAGTATTATACAGCAACCTTGTAAAAGAACTCTCTTGTGTGCTCTCATTCCACCTTAAAAGCTAGTTTTTGTTCCTCCCCCTACAAAATTTTGCTACTTCGTATAACTTATTGCCTTGAGCCTGATAAGAGAGGTAAAATTCTTCACCCTGGAGGACAGGAAAAGAAGCAAGGGGCTGAAAGACATTAGAAAAAACATTGCAAACAGTAAGTTTAATTAAGCCATTAAAGAAAACCTGTTGATTCTAACTTATTGCAAGCCCGAAAAAGCATCTTAAACAGCATCTGTTAAGAATGGCATCAGTATAAGGAATCTGCTAGATGGGCCAGATGGCCTATAAAGGCCCCCTCTAGACCTGTTTTTTTTTTGTGATCTTGCCATGGAGAGGAGCGAAGACCAGATTAAGCAATCTCTAGGAGAGCTTCAAGAGCACCTGAGAAGCCTCTAATCTATCTTTCGGTTTATCTTGTTCTTCTCTGAGTAAGGAATGTTAATTAAAATATCTTAAGGAATTTGGACAGCAATTATAAACCTTTACAATAGCCAGCCTCAGGCACTTAACAAAAACAACATTTCACATTTTATGTTGTACTTTGCATTTTTCATGGATTAAAGCACTTTTTAGACCATGTTCCCACTTCAGCATGTACCATATTTGCAGTTATAATCACTAGCTGGAAGTGTCTAATTACCAGTCACATGCCTCGTAGTTTTACAACAGGGAAGCAGATCAGCCTCTTTATCCACTCTGACAGGAAAATTTGGGGGCTACACAGGAACAAATACCATACATCATTTCAAGCATGCAAAAAGGGTCACAAATTGCTTGTGCCACACCACGTACAGCAAAAGACCCCTCCATTCTCCAACAGTCCCCATCAGCAGGGCTGCTGCTGGGAAGAAGTTTCCCCTGATGGGAATCACTACAGGGTGACTTACAGGGACTGGGGTTCTGACGTGAATGACATCCAGGAACTTCTCCCCAGAATGCTGAAAAAATTTTGGTCTATACACAGATGTCAGTTTTTCTACTTGGAATGACAAAAACAGGATTAGTCTACTGGGATTTGAACATCCAGTTGCCAGGTAGCAGACAGTGGAAGTCATGTCCAGATCCCTAAACAAGAGATGATGCTGAAAGGAAGCTGTTGCTACAAAGGTGATGAAGGGTCTCCAGAATAAAAAAATACAAATGTGGAAGAGAGATATTACTTCCCTTTCTATTCCTTCCCTTTTCCATCCCTTTATCTTCCTGCAGAAATATTCCAATATGCAAAAAATATCCCTTATTTTTACTGGATATTACTGCTTATAAACACAGATTCAACTTTAAGAGCATATCTTGTCTAGAACAGAAGAAAGTACTTTGGCAGACAGCATTTTCATCTTGTCTGAAAGGGAAAATTTCCAGAAAAACCTAATGGAAAAAACAACTTTTCCCTCCCCTGCCCTGCTGCTTTCCCCTGCAAAAAGTAATCACCTAGTACAAAGAACTAACTACTGCAAACAACAATAAAAAATTCACTTTTTCTCCACTTACCCACCCTCCCCAAAACATAAAATATGTCTTCCTGTTTGCTTTCCTTGTACAGGCAGAGATACTGATGCAATCTCTCCTCTCTGAAACAGGAAACACCTCTATCTCAGTCTGCATCTTTATCCCCCTGAGCAGCTTGACTAAGCAGATTAAAAGACAAGAGCACACTGAAGCAGTATTAAAGCTGTAACAGAAAACAACTGCCAGTTCAACGGGAAAGGGAAATAGAGTCTGCTGCAACTGCTTAGAAATTAAAATAGGCTGGAAGAAAGCAAACACGCCAGGTACACTGTAGGTAGGTAACTTCCAGCTCCTCCAAGGATGCTGGTAGTTATGCAAAGGATCCAGCATCATCTCCAAACTGTCGTCTGTCTCCCTGGGCTCCGTGGGAAGACGGAGAGATGGCAGCTTCTCTGTAGCACACTGTCACCCCCACTTTCATTCCTCCCCCCCGTGCCTTCCCCACCAGAAAAAAAGAACAGCTGTTGGCTTCTTCCATCACACCTACTGACAAGGTGAATCTGAAACGTGGCAACTCTCAGCCTTTGACAAAGTGCAATAAATCAAAGCAGGAACCCACTATTTGTATTTGGGGATGAAAAGAGACTATTCAGCCAATTAAAATATTTTACAAACAAGGGCAAGCAAGAAAGGAAAAGAACAGTGGTGTTATATTGAAAAAGTGCATTTTTAAATGAAAAAGAGTCAATATTAATTCATTAAATTAATTTTTTCATACATAACATTTTGAAACTGTATTTGTATAAACTACTATTCTCATCTATTACTACGCAGAACTAGACAAACAGTTAAAGAAGAAAAAGCACAACATTCCTTGGTAGTTCTCTTGCTAGCCAACCGCCCTGATCATCTGGGAGATGTTCAACTCTGCCTGCAAAATAACCAATAAGATGCTACATAAAAGGATAAAATATTTTGTTGCTCATCTTGGTTATTTGTCACAAAAGGAGAACAAGTATAAAAGACTTATATAAGGAAAAAAAAAAGATGACGTTATGGAAAACCACAAAAGAGAACAGTGCTGCATTATGGTGAGTTCTTGTAAAAGGAAGACAAAACAATGCTCCAAAATTTATGTGCTCTGGCTTGTTTCCTCCAGAGCAGATGTGGGGACCCAGCACTTCACATCAGCAAGGAAACAGATGAGTAGCAATAGCTCCTTTTAGAAATGCACTTAGCACACACTGAAAAATGGTGGAAAACAACTGATCAACCAATAGAGTATATCATAAATTAGCTTATAATGTAAATACTACCCATCATTTGTGCATACGATTGTTAAATCTATTTCCTCAAATTTCTTCAAAGTGGCTTAGGAAAATTATGATGGTTCCCTGCAGTCTACAAACCTAAATACAGTTGCCAGTTAAAGGTCACAGCAACCACTTCAAAAATGATCACCAGGTTGTGCGTCAGCTTTAGCAGACTGAGTATTTCAGAGGTGCTGAATGCATGCTCACAGGTGTGCTGAAGCAACAACTTAAATATCACAGGCCATATTTGAGAATATAGCTTATCTATGAGTATTGGCTAAAAAAACTTAACTGACTTGTAAGGACACACAGAGAGAAAGCCATGGTAAAGACTTGAGCTTCATAATTTTATTTTTAGCTTTGTAATTCAGAAGTACTTTATAAGTACAAAGAAGTCAGATTTAAGGCAGCAGTAAACCAGACTACTGGGGGAAGTTTACATTGCTGCAACCAACGCTTTGAATGATATTTAAAAAAAAAAAAAAAAAAGAAGAAAAAAAAAAGAAAAAAATTAGTAAGGTGCTCAGGGTATGAAATGCCTAAGCTGCTACATGAGCTCCCAACAACACAACTCCTCGGTGATACGATCACCCTTCCCTTTTCTGCAACAAATCCACCATTGCCTAGAAACATTTTATACCAGGGTTTGCAACAGTGTGCTTCCAGCACCATTTGTAATGGTCACCTTTGTTCAATCCGCCAGAGGAATCCCCTCGCAGTCTGCCTAAGGCAGGACACATCTTTTACGTGGCATGAAACCATTCAGGTCACGTGAGAATTTCACCCATGACACAAGGTGGACTGTCACAGAAACTCAGGTGATACCTTGCTTTGCAGTGTCTAAATAGTCATTTTTTTTTACACTGAACCCTCCGAGTTTGAGGCTACAAAGCATGCTAGAAGGTACTGAGCACACATTATTAAACTTACAGGAACCCAGTGCATTAGCTTTACAAGTAATTTTATAACAATACAACTGCACTGCAAACCACCCTCACAGGCACTGTAAACAATGGAAATGTTTTACAGGGGAACAGAAGGTGAGAAGCACCAAGAATATCTGCTAACCTGGTGGAGCCAGCTTTAAAGGCTTTTATAAGCTTCACAGTATCTCAGGACTTCTCAAAATCTTAACTCTGGGGAAACTGAAAATCTCAGCTTGATTCCAAAGCCCGGCAGTAGTTCCAGAACCACTGAGCACAAACCAGTTCTGCTAACAAATGAAGCAGTCCTGCCTCCTCATCCCTCTGGGTGGCTTATTCCTGACTCTCTGCTTCCCTCCCTTTCTGCGGGTGCAAGCTCTGAAGTGAATCACATGTAGGAGCAGATTCATTTTAGCTTTTATATCTCCATTCGTGCCCCAATCCCATTTACCTGGAGCTGCACAGATGCTTGCCCCAGCACAAGGGGATGCAGAGGCTATACACCACATCTGCTTCTTTCAGCAGCTGTACCGGCTTAAAAATGATTCATGAAATGATGGCCTACATTTCCAGATAGAGAAAATTTTGAGAACCGCTCCCCATTTCACCCTAAAGGCAAATACCATTTGGGAGACAATTAGTTCTTTCCCTCCCCAATTTTACTGAGGTGTGACTCCAGATATTTCAGCACAAGGCTTAACATACTGGGAACCGCACTGGTTCCAGGTGCTTCAGTAGTACAAACAATACTAACTGGGGCAAAGAGCCTGGTCCTGTACCCAAGGCAGGCTACAGGGGACTTGCTCTCAGCTTCACCGAGAATTTGATACAAATAGAACTGAACTGAAAAATGCCCGGGGTACACAACCATATCAAAACTCCGTCTTCATACTCAGCACGTACCACATGTCAATCCATATTTACATTGCATCAACACTGGTCAGGCAGTTCAGAACTTCTGTGTAAACATCAAAAGCTGCAGCTCTCTCAAAGCAAACTTGCAAACAAATGTAATTTGGAGTTTCGAGAGTTTTTGTAATAACTTTTAAAATCATACAAATACGTGCAGCTCTTTGTCTCAGGTACCAGTTACCAATGTACACTGGTTACGAGCATGATACTGTCTTCAAACCAACAGATCCATTCCACTAACTCAATAGCCGAGACCTATACTTAATGGATCCTGATGCAGAACAGACATCTGAAGCATCAGCACCCTCTCACCAATATGGAAATCATGTGTGATAACTCTTATTTACTGTATAATACAGACAACAAGGAGAAAGCTGCATAGCGAGACATTGTCACTTACGTGGTTTATATAGAGACTCTTGCGTTTTTCTCTCACTGCAAAAACACAAAATATGATAGAAATATTACTTGACTATTTTTCCCGATTAAGCTTCTTATATACCATTTATAACAAAAAGAACAGGAGGCTATCTATTTGCAACATTTTAACTGCTTTTTCACTAATCAAGTATATTTATATATCAAACACAGAAGGAACATGTATCTGTATGCACAAATGCATTTACGCTCGCTAGTGTGGTGATGGATTAAAATTCTCATCCATTTGGGTACTTCACCAGGCATTGGTCCGCATGGGAAAGTTAATATGCAGTAAGCTAGAGTCCAAGTTCGCAATGGATTAGCCATCCTTCACCAGTTCTCTGTGTGGGTACTCCTGAGCCACCAGTGCCTTCATGCAAGGTACCTTGCTGCAAAGTCACCTACACTACCTTGCAGGTATGAAAGCACGTAAATAGCACAGAGTTAGCAAATGCTCATCATAGCTTACTGTGCACTAACTCCCATAGAGGAGCCTTGAAACCATATGCATTATACCACTGCCTTCTATAATAATCAGGTGCAAGCCTGAAACTATTACTCATGTAGAATATAACAATGAAAACATACTACTTTGGTGAGTACGAACTCGTCACGACAAGCAAGGGTTGCAAGTCAAAGCCACACTTAGCCAAAATATTCAGAAACTGAAGAGTAACAACAAGGGACATAGATGTATAGAGTCTTAATTGTCAGGCAAATGCTGATTTAATATACTCTCTTTAATTTTTAAAAGCACTTTCCCAATTAACTCACCCCATAGAGAGCCTGTGGAGCTCTGTTCCAGTGAAAATACCACAACATTTAGGATACAAGTCTAGAGGAAACTAACACATAAATCAAACTGCAGGATTAAAATAATAATGGTTTCATGCTGTAGGTGATTAAATGCACTTTGGTGCACCATGATTTGAAAGCTATGCAACCCAACGCACTTAGCAAAATGAGAGTGCTCATAATGGTGGGATAGCCTGCCCATTCCCTGTTGGATGAGAAGCCATTACTTGTGATTTTTTAAAAGCAAGCAATCTCACATAAACAAGGCTGAAATCTCACAAACAAGGCTGAATGTGTGAATTCTGTGAAATACTTATGTTTAATGCAGACATAAAATGAAAAGAAAATAAGAAAAAACTTTTAAAAATCCTTACATAATTTTCCTCCCAGGGAGCAGAAAGGAGAATCACACATGACAGATGTTAGCCATGTCACTTAGTACATGCTCAGATCCACAATTATGGACATTATATATGAAACAGAATTAAACAAGAACAGCAGGAAAATTCTGATCGTCTAGTAAAAAGTTAAACTGCTTGAAATCCTGCTAAAACACTGCACTACACTTAAGTTCCACACACCGCATTTATCACCAGCAAGGGACATAAGTAATCTAAAGGGAAACAACAAAATGATGGTAGATACTCACTTCTAAGAATAGCCGAAGTATTTGTCTAGTATTGCATATTGCAATGTACAGGCAGTAAGCAATTCTGATAAGCTGTATGTAAACCTAATAGAGTACATAACTGAAAATTAACACCTATTAACTGTGAAATTTTGAACACAGTTAAGTATTTAACAGCGTTTTAATCACAAACAATTATACCGCATACAAAGTTCTTATGGACAAAAGCCTATAAAGACAGCCTGCACATACACTCCAAATTCCATTTTGATCACCTTTTTTCCCCTACTTTAGTTTTTCTTTTCTGTATTTTCCCTTGTATCCATTATTCAATTCCCCGTGAAAGTACAATCACCTATTTACCAAGGCAGGAATATCACTCACAGCTCATTCCATTTGCTATTTCCAGTCTCCAGAAGAACGCATTACTGCATTTATACACCCCCCTGACTTCTCCCTGCTCAAGCACTGCTCGCGCTGCTCATTCTGCTAAGCACGATGCTGACCTCCCTTCCCCTACTTTCCCCATACAAGAGAAAATCAGTTCGCCTGGATTCTCTGGTGAGGGACCACAAGAAGGCAGCTGCGCTTTTGTGCTTCTGGCCCACTCTGCCATAGCGTAAGGCTCGACTCTTTCCAGAACGTATGTCGATGGGGAACTGGGCATAGCAGAAACCCATTTTGTCACAACCGCTCTCTTTTGCGATCGCAACCCTCCTTTTAAACAAGGGAAAGACAATTATTGCACAAGGCAAAACGCCACTTCTGCCAAGCTAAAATGACTGTAAAGAGGCAATTCCATCACTTAGCTTCAGTCAGTTTAAAGATGCATTGCATCGCTCAATGCAGCACAGTATGATCTTCAGCAGACCAGACCGCAGGGTTATAATTAACCATCATTTTGTAGCGTAAATGCCAACTGCAACTCCAGGCTGTTGGCTTTCAAGCATGGGGTTTTCATGAAATGAAGCTGAATAGATTTAGAGTCAGTTTAAACAAACTTCTACGTTCTTTCTAACGTTTTAAAGCTTGAAGTTGGAATGGAACTCTTCAAGCAGAGACTGAGATGCTGCCAAATTGTCTTAGTTTTCCTCATTTTAAAGTCAATGACCTGTTCCTATTTCTGCAGGCACTTTCAATTGTTACTGTTGAACTTTGGCACTAGTAGGAAAATATACTGAAATAGAAGGGAGTGAGGAAATACACACACATACATGCATAGATATATATGCACGTGTATATACATGTATTTTTCATTGAGCTGTAATAGAAACTTTCTTTGTGCAATTTCTATAGACTATCTTAATGTTACCCGTATCAGGATTGAAGACAAAATTCTTGAGGATTACATCAGTACAAATGTCTCGCATTTTGGGAGTTTGTAAATCATTTGTTTTATCCGAGACAGGAGGCTAGTCCTAGTTAACATTAAAGAGTAAGTGCAGCTTACTTCAAATCTATCCACTATATAAATACATTTTCAAAATCCTCTTTTTCTGAAGCTCATTGTTACACTGATACTGGAAAATTTAGCCAGCATGCTGAATGTAACGTAAGTTAGGAGAGGTGGACAGCTGTAACCCACTTACAGGAAAGACCATTACCAGCACCCTGAGGTAGCAACCGTTGCCCTCTTCCTATTATAAGGAAAGGAAGTTACGTTATTGGAGTGCTAAGGTTTGGAAACCCTGGCTTAAGCACAACCACACACTAAATAGTGCATGGCTTTTCAGTCACCCAGACCATCCTGCTTGCAGGCCAAACTCAGCAAACAAGGGAGAACTTGCATAAAGCACTCATAGTTCAAGACATAAAGGGTGATATTCTTTACTAGCTCCCTAAACAGGGAGAATTACTCATGTAAGATTCAGCACCTACAAAATTCCCACAAAGAGTTGGAGACATTCAGAAAAGCTACTTCAGTTAGGAATCTAATTAATATTTATTGTGTCTTCAGCTTTTCTACAGATTCATTGAAAACTCAGGTAATTAAGGATACATTGAGACTACCTGACTAAGAGGGACAGGACAGATTTAGATGCTTAGCATGGCATCCAAGCTTCACAGAACAAGGGAAAATTCAGACCATGTGATACCCAGAGATGCCACGTCCTGTCTTATATTTGGCGTAGTCAGCTTGTTGCTTTTCACTCACGTGTTGATCACAAGCAGCTGAAGCACAGTTCCTGTGCCAGGACAGTACTACAAGATTACCACTGAGGCTGAAAGAGTAGAGGGCTACTAGAAAGCCAAACATGGAACTGCCTGAAAGTAGTGTTGCCAAGTCACTCTAGCACGTAGTGATAGACTTGGCCATTTCCCACTGCACAAACATGTGATGTACACTCAAGAGTCACACCCAGATCCTGGATGAAACTTTGAGTCCTAATGCCCCTCAGCTGTCCAATATGTGTATTTTAAATATCTGCAGGTCTTATCTATAGAAATAGTTTCACTTACAGTCAACAGGAAGGTTTGCCAGCCCAACACTATACAAGTAGTGGACAGAGGTAGCTACATGCCCAAGTTACATGTTTTCAACATTGCCAGCTCAGCTTTCCCCTTCTACATTGTCTTGAGAAGTCCTGGGGGTCCCCTAGACTCCACAGAAGGCTGTCAGAATGCAACCCTACACACCCTAAAACATTATGATATTTTCCCCTTAACAAGCATTCTATTGCATTTGGTGTTAGGCAACATCCTTGAATAACTCCTACAGCTCACTTGGTTCCACAACAGGCCCTAAGTACAGCCAAGCAAAATGCTTACTACTGTGAGTTGTTCCACCAGAACAGGACAGTTCTTGGCAATACATCAGCAGATAAATGTTTGCAGCATCTTTTTTCTTTTGTACAAGCGAAATAGCCTTTGGATTTTTTTCACTATGATTAAGGATAGCTGAACAGATCTTATGCTCCTGTTAATAACATTTCTGTATTATTTTACTAAATTCATTGTTCTCACTCAAAATATGTTCTTCATATTAAACTAGAACAAAGTTTCATAGACCAACTCTAGCACAGGTGCAAACTGCAATTTTAAAAAATGCTTACAGTTAACTCCATACTGCAATAAATTAACCACTATTACCACAAGTAAGAATAATCATCAGGTCTGGTAAAACTTTTAGCTGTTGGACTTGGGATTTTTTTTGTCCTTTCTTTCAACAAGCTGCAATAAGAAAGAGGTAGCATCCATATGGGATTATACAGTCTCAAAACACTATAAAAACACTATAAAATAGACATCAATCTTCATAATACAATGTAGTATGGAAATACTATCATATTCATTTTACAGAGTACCAAACCAGATTAAAATGGTAAATCACACATCCAAAAACACATAATAAGGTATTGACAGAACCAGGGCTGAATTCAGAAGGACACTCTGAAGGGTAAAAGAGGTACTCACATAATCAACTCTTCAATTAGGGCCTAAATGTATATCATCTTTGTTCTAGTAACTCAAAAATTAGTGAAAAATATACAGTAAGTGAAAACTATGTTATTTTTAAGTGATGTCTTTGACACTGCAATTTACTATGTAAATCAAAAACTGCATTTATAGGCAGCAGAAACAAGGACAAAGAATTCATACTGAACAGTCAGAATTACAGTGCAGAAACTGCTTTGAAAGTCTTGGTAGAAAATAATGTGTTTTGCATCGATTATTCATCTACTTCTAAAACAACATGTCATACATGTTCAACAGGGAACGAAAGAGCCAGAATAAATGGCTTCTATTCTACTAACTCTATCAAGAGGCTTGCTTAACAGATGTAATTCCAGAGGGATCATTTTATCTAGGAATAAAAAATAGCCCAGACAAATACATGATTTTATCAACTCCATAATGAGAGAAGAGAGAATGTTTGGGTGGGATGGGGGTTGTTGTGTTATTAAAATCTAGCACTGAGCTCATTTACAGTATCAGCTATATCGGAGAAAACTCTGGACTGTCTTCTTAGCTAATGTAAACTGGCATTTTCTCAAGAAAATACTCCCCACGCATTTCCCAGAAGCTTGGCCTAATGTTCAGAGTTTTAAAAAAAACAGTTACACAGAAAATTCTGGATTTAGGGAAAATATTTTTAAAATATAATTATATTAAGCTTTATCAATATTTGTAGTTCTGACACAACCACTACTTGGAACTTACAATTTCAGGACAAGACAGGATGCAAACCTGTACCTTCTACTACTGGTCTGACAAAATAATTAACTAAAGGCGTGACTTCTTTCAATTTTAGCATGATGCCTATAAAAGCCTCTTTTTTTGGGAGGGGAATTATATATTAAGAGACTATCGCATGCATTCTAACAAAGGTGTTAGAGGTAACTGCACTACCAAATACTGTAATAAATTCAGTAACCTACCATCTGTTTGTGATTTACTGAGAAATATTGTACTGGCCCGTGGATGATCTGATGGGTTGAATTCCATGTTCAAATCTGGAAAGAAAGAAAAAATAGCACAAAAACATTTATGATTATCCAACGGTATACACAGATTTTTCCTTCTTTTCAATAAGACTAAGTTTACATACTAACCAGCTAATGTAAAACAAAATCCATCTTGAAGCCCATTTTTTTATCCTTCTTCACACAAGTGACTCTTTTTGGCATGCAAATCATTTGCATCAACACAGCCTAGGGATTACACTTCGGTTCTAAGGGCTGCTTTTGGATTAAAACAGATAAAGCAGCTTGAGAAGTTAGTACGCAAGAAGTCAGGAATTATCCATTTACCATCAGTTCCTTCCCACCATGCCCCAAAGCCATTGCTAAGTACAGGGACACAGCTTGCTATTTGTAATTATAGAAGAATTAAGTATTATAAACCAAATATGCAACCCTCTGTAGATAGATGTGTTTCCAGGATTAGATGTGATTAGTATAAGTAGTTATTGCAGCTGAATGTAAACAAGTTAAGTCTAGGCCAGAGAGTTTTAAATGGTCAAGATTACAAAAACTCAGAACTTTTCTGATACTTCACAGATGAACATATGCCATGCAATTTCTAAAAAAAAAAACCAAACCAAAAACCAAAGCAAGTCCTAAAAACATTTACTAGGTTACAGATTTGAATCTATCACAGCTTATACAAGCTTCTGTGAATCTTATTTTCCCTATCTAGGTTAAAATCCATTGAGTTTACTTGTTCACATATTCCACTCCACTACCAATTTGTCAAAACTCTTACATGCCTGCATCCACTTGAAAGCATGCTACTAAAAACAGCACATCATTTTTTATCATTTTCTTGCTCTCCTGGTGTGGCTGTATCAACCTTAGTTCTCTTCCATTTTCTTGATGTCTAGATGTATGTTCTCTTGCATTTGATGCAGGCATTTATGTGAGACCACATACAAGCACTGGTATGTTTATCTTCTATGATTATTCCAGGCTTTCTACATTTCTCTCATTCCCCTTTCATATCTCTGTGAAAGCTCAGCAAAACTGGAAATTAAGCCCCATGTCTTATGAAAACAAAACAAAGTCTTTTTGCCCAGGGGTCAAGTTCTCCTGTCTACAGTTCTCCCTGTTCCTTCACCATCCATCACCACATTCTCTTCTCCCTTTCCCTTTTATTTACTAATTTACTAGGTCTTCCGCTTCCCTGCTTTTTTCTCCTGACCTCTCTACAAATGTACTTTCTATCTGTATTTTTTCCCCTTTATGCTCTCTTTGTTTCCTTTTCATCTCCCTGCATTCTGCAGTCCATGAGATGAGCAGCCTGACATACTGCTGGTACCTGGACGTAACTTCTGGAATAAACATGATCTTACTTTCAAGGAAGAACCCAGAAACACAGAAGAGCAATTCCTCAGTTGGAAAGGGGCTTGTTATTCTGATTACCAAACCCACAAAGGAAAAAAAAAATAATCTAAGAATTTCAAGGGAAAGTGATTTTGATTCTCCCAGAAACCACAGTTTGCAGCTAAACTTGGAGAAGATTCTAGGAAGGTCATCTTACTACCAGAAGTTCTGACTTGAAAGGACTGTGAATTAGAAAGAATGTTTTCCTATTACTTTCTCCATCTTATTTAGACATAGAGAAGAAAAAAAGAATCACCCGTTGAGACAGATAGTGCTGGTAAAGATTGTTTTCTATTTTAGGACAGTTTTTCCATTAAGCGGAATTCAAGATGCAATTCATTAAGAGTAATAAGTGTTTTAAAATGACAAAATACGTTGGCTTTTATCATCTTCATCATCTTTTATCAAACAGCACAATACATCACCACAAACAAAAAAACGTCTTTGTTTTTTTTAAAAAAAAACACTACAGACAATCTTTTTACAAATCTTTTAAAGTACAGGAATGCAAATTCAGTCAGCAAAACAGGACTGGCAACATGAAACTGAACTCAGCTTACAAAATACTGCCCCATAACCAGACAAGCATTCCTTTCCTTCAGGCCCAGAAAATTATCTGCTCAGGGAGTAATAACAACCGAGTACAGGCTTACAGTCTGCTTGCAGGGCCAAAAAGAAAGGAAAACCAATTGCCACATCTTGCAGACAAGTTGCAATTATTTAAGATTCCTGTGTTATAAAAGGCTATTATGCAGAAGCAGTAAACCAACAGAGGACTTAAAGCCTTTCTGAAAAAAAGCATGAACTACCAAAAAGCAGTGGCTCTCAGATAAACTTATTCTTCAGACAGGAGCTGAAAGAAGGGCAGCAAAATCCAATCTCAGCAGCTGCAGAGGCCAGACCAGGGATTTTGAAGCAGCCTGGGACAGGCAGCTACCCGCTGCGAGGCAGTGGCCGTGGCTCCTTCCCACCGCTGAACCCCACAAAGCATCACGTGTCCTCGTCTCTCCACATCCCTTCTCTCACACCCTCCCCAGCAACAGCAGCCATCAACCACATCCATCTGTCTGTCTCAAACTGCCTGCACAAAAATCAGAGGAGGAGAACGTGGGTATGGGGAGCGGCAAAACCTGCCAGGGCAGGTTACCCAGCACAGCGCGGCCAGAAGACGACAAGTGCTGCCGAGAGAGGCTGGGTCCCCCCCCGCCCCCGAGGGACAGCGGAGGGGT